AAACAATTGATATGCAAATATATTTGTAGTTTGAAAACAGTAAATATTGCATGATTGTTTTCTAATTTCCAAATAAATTTATTATTACTGAATAATATTCAGTACAAGTAATCGACTCATAATCATTTGTTTAGTGACATTTGAAGTTATATGAAATTGAAAAAGAGACTTATTACCCTTTTTCATACTTACTACCATTGTAGCATCCCCATGGTCACATGGTGAAAATTGTGGTTTTGTGCTCAATTGTGGTTATAAGTCAAGGAATGCCCATATTATTATACCTATATACACACCCATATATAGCCAAAACATCAATATGTCTTTGCTCACTGTATCTATATAACTCTTTCTAAAAGTGTCTTGGACTTTATTAGGGAAGGATGGGCTGTGAAGAATTTTTAGACATCTGTAGGATAAAACCACTTGTATCTGGGTAGGTCCTAACCAGGTGAACAAAACTACAAACTATCAATTATCTTGAATGAAGCTGAACTTGTAAATCCTGAGGAAATAGATTTGATTTTGGGGTATCAACTCTATAGTCCGTAGACATGATTCTTTGCCATTACTGGTTGATGAAAACCTTTGAGATGACACAAAGCTGGACTAGATAATTGTATCCTTATAGACACTGCTGTCTCCATGAAGAGACACGCTATGTCTTGTCCTTAAGTAGTGAGGGTTGTTGGTGGATGTGATTATCTCGGGTGTGAATTTTATAAATTTTGTTGATTTTAATATGATTTAATATTGTTTTTAAACTTTTCTATTGTTCTGTTGTTTTATATCGTTTTAATTTTTTGTAAGCCAAGATGTATATAAAGGAGACGGAAGACTAGTATAAATGCAAATAATAAATATTGAGTAACCTACACCCTTTCCTATTTGGGCAGCATAGGAGAAGGGCTGTAGTTGCAGAAGAGCCATCCAATTGTAAGCAGATTCCCTTTTTAGGTTAAAAGCTGAAAAACAGCTGAATACAGCTGAAAAGCCAGTATTGGAAAATCCTGATTTCCTTATAGGAGGAAAAATGACCCTATACATAGATGATTTGTTTTGTTCAGGTGTTATAAAATTTCCTTTAGTAATATTTGTAATATTTAGTAAATTAAGTATTTACATTTTTTGTGCAATCCATATGATAAAGGAAGGTGAAGTAGTTTTAGGATTTTAAGATACTTCAATTAATAAATATATAAGAGATAAGAATATTGCATTACATGTTATAATCATATTTAATTTAGGAAAAAAAAACACTTACTAGGAATGGTAGTTACGACTTCACCAACTTGTAACCTGTATAGAATTGTGGTCTTTCCTGCTCCATCTAATCCCAAAATTAAAATTCTCATCTCTCGTGTACCAAACAAACTGGAAAAGATTGTTGAAAAAAAGCCACCTACAAAAAAAAGCATTATTAGAAATATATTAACAATATCAGACTGTTCCAAATTAATACTTTTTAAAGCTTTCCTGAGAAATACATTTTATTTGTAAGATATCTGCTTATCTTAAAAAAATTATTTCTGTCCTTTTTAATGAATGTCTTTTTTTAATAAATACACATATGCAATACAAAAGCAAGTCACAGTAATCTTAAAAGTTGGAATTTCTTCATTAATACACATCATTTTGTATTTTTGGGAATGCAATTTCCTAATTTCCAAACATCTTTCAATGAAAATTTTCACTTTTCAAATTAGTTTCATGATTTCACAGCTGCATGTTCTTTTTAAAAATCTTCCCAACCTAGTTAGAATTCCCTGATGTTGTCAGATCCAAGTACTAACCAGGTCTGCTCCTACTTGCTTCAAAGTTCAGAAAAGATCAAATAAATACTGCTAAAGTTTCTGAAACTCTGCTGAGGGAGATAAACAGAAAAAACTGAAGTTTACATCATTTACTAAGGCCATATCTATACTCCTTAAAGCAAGAGAAACAGGAAGAACTGATCTTGCAATTTTAAATTCCAAAGTTGTGGCAGGCACCCAGTTCACTAGTCTCTTTGAAATGTCTTAACATAGCAAGTCCAAGGATCTCTGAGGGTCCCGAAAGACCATCCCGTAGGTCGGTGACATCAAAATTATTTGCCAGATATTTAAAGTTTTATTAAAACTTTCAATATCTGACATTAAAACAATGTCATTTTTCTCAAATTAAAACACAAGGCTTTTTCCTGAAATATTTTTGTTAACACCTAACAGGATTGATACTATTATTTTTACATGGTTCAATACATGTTTCATGAATGCATCAGTTTTTAACTTTGAATATGATAAATAGCAATAAACATAGCCCACAGAAACTAAAGCTACTTTGGAGTCCTCCATAATTTTAAAAAGTGGGAAGCCGAGTTCCGAGAGCAAAAAAGTTGAAGAAACACTGTTCTAGAGTGGGGATGGTTGTGGTGCCTATAATCCCGGTTAATTTTCGTTCAAAAGTTTGTTTGCCATCGTCATCAAGAGACAGCTGGAATTTATAGCTCAGTGACATATGGATATCCCCGCGGGTCGCACCAGACTTTCAGGTAAAGCTTGCGAATGGGAAATTGGACATGACGAGCCTGGACCTGTTTACTGTCGGCCCTCCAACGGTTCTCAGAGCAACGGGGTGATGGCGAGGGGAAGGGCGTTTGAGGACGAGGGAAGAGAAAAGGGGAGGGGAGCCGGTTCGAAGGCGTCGAAAGTTGCATCTCCTCAGTGTTTTTGCGGTCTAAGTTTCCACGCTCCCTCTTGAGGATCTACGCGCTCTTCTCTCGCCTTTGACTCCGTGAAGGAAATTCCACCACACTGACCGAGACGCCGAGGTTCCCCTCCAGGAAGCTCCTATGCGAGCGAATCCAACCGCTCGACAGCCCCCGGAATAGCCCAAAACCACAAGGGCGACTCGGAGGCCCCGAGGTTCACGCCCTGAGGGGAAAAAATCTTCACGGAACCGCTCTCCACAGCCCCCCGCCCCGGTCTCCAAAGCGCTCCATTTTTCGGATTTCCTCCCGTTCGGGCCGCCACCTTTGCCCTCGCCCTGCCTTTCTCCCTTTCCTCCTCACCCATGGCGGTAAAGGTTTCCCGGGCTGTTTGCCGTTCAGCGTCCCGGCAGTCCTCCCCCTCCTCCTCTGTTGCTGCCGGCGGCGATCACCCGGAAGTGGGCGAGAAGCAGGTTCCACGTCGGCTCCCGCGTGCTTGAGTCCCGCGACACGCAGCAGCCGCTCCACATGACGACGAATCCAAGAGCAGAATTTTCGACACGAACCGGCGCCGCCAACGACTGAGGAGCAAGCGACGAATCTGCTCGGTCAAAAGCGGAGCGACAGAACCTCTCTCGGCTTCCCCATTGGAGGAATTTGGCTGGTGGGCGGGGATAGAGGGGGGGCTTATTCGAGTTCCTGGATCACGTGGTGCTGAGCGAAAGCGGTGATAGGGAGGAAGCAGCGGGCGGGGAGTTGCGGGAAGCGTTTTCTGTATTTATTAGAATTTGTCAAACAAAAACGAGAAGAATAAAAGGGGGAAAAATGTAATGACAGGGACGATAGGCATGTTAGTGCAACCTATGCACGCCCCTTCTACTGACCACTTAAGTATGAAGTAAGGTCCACAGAAGTCAATTTGCGACTGAAACTGAAAATTTGTAGCTGAAAACAACTGAATCGGGTAGGGCAGAGGTCTTCAAAGTTGGCAACTTTAAGACTTGTGGACTTCAACTCCCAGAGAATTCTGGGAGTTGAAGTCCACAAGTCTTAAAGTTGCCAAGTTTGGGGACCCCTGGGGTAGGGCATTCCAGACAACTCTATTACAGAAATCATATTTTTTACAGTCAAGTTTATAACAATTTACATTAAGTGTAAAGTGGTTGTTCGCACACATATTGCGATTAAAACAGGAAAAAGTCATTTACAGGTAAAGCATTATTATGTATAAATTTGTATGTAATGCCTAGCTCTGACCACAAGCGATGCAGTTCTAAGTTATTTAAACGGAGAATTTTGAGTTTCTGAGGAAAAGCATTGGCGGTATTTCTATTTTTTAGTTAGGAGTACTATGGTTGTGGGTCTGCAGTGTTGTAGATATTTATTGCTAAACTCAATGTTTCATCCTGCATAGTTTAAGAATGAAGCGCGATGGCGCAGCAGCATATCTAAGTGGAAAATCTCCAGGTACAACTATGAAAGAAATTGCAACAAGGCTGCAGAATCCAATTATCCTGGGATTTTCCAACGTAATTTAATATTCATAGAATGACATCTTGGTTACATTTCACTTTTTCTAAAGGCAGTATTTAATGCTTTTATGAAACAGTATTGTCAAAACAAATGCATTATAAAAGGAAACACTCTCCTTAGAAAATATGGATTTTTATTCAGGATACTTTTTATAGCCTCATATAATTTCAATTTGCTTTTTGCAGCATGTAGAATGCTATAAGAGGAAACTATTTTCCCAACAATTCTTTAAATACAGATAGTCCTCGACTTACAACCCCAATTGAGACAAAAAAATCTGTTGTTAAATGAGACATTTGTTAAATGAATTTTGCCCCATTTTACGACCTTTCTTGCCACAGTTGTTCAGTGAATCAATGCAGCTGTTAAGTTAGTAACAAAGTTAAGTGAATCTGGCTTCTCCATTGACTTTGCTTGTCAAAAAGTCGCAAAAGTGATGACATGACTCCAGGATATTGCAATAATCATAAATATGAGCCACTTGCCAAGCATCTGAATTTTGATCACATGACCATGGAGATGCTGCCAGTCAGTGTAAAAAACAGTCATAAGTCACTTTTTCAGTGCTGTTGTAACTTCACTCACTGAATGAACTGTTGTAGGTTGAGGACTACGGTAACTAGACAAATTATTTTACACACACATTATTTCACATGGGTTGTCAGAGTTAAAAAAAAAAGAATCTGGTCAGAGTTTGCATTGCTATACTGATATCAGAATTTTTATTATTGTGAATTATACCCCATTTCCTTTTTTAAGTAATTAACTTTGCACACAAATGTGACTGTTTAAAAAAGTTTATTTTTTGACTTAGGTAATAATGAATGGCAGGAACACAGACAAATTATTCATTCTTAATGAAACGTATTAAAATAATTTCACCATAATTTATAAAATGTTACTTGTACAAAAAACATCAATAATGAACAAACATTATTCTTCATCCTCTTGGTATTCTTAGCAGGCCACGGATACGTCTAACAAGTGCTTGAATAAAAGTATGGCGTGACCGCACCTTAGAATACAGTCCTTCTATATCTAGAAGTTTCTTCTGAAGGGATTCTCCAAAATTATTGGTTGCCTCTAGCTGAAGCTAAAAAGAAACAACAAAACCAAGATAATCTTTATTTATTAAATCCTTCTTTAATGCACTGCTAATTTAGATTCAGTAATATATATAAGTGGGTCCTATTTGAAGCATACCCAAACTTGCTTTTTAAAATCTTAAAAATAAACATACAGATTTATGAATTAACATGTCCTTGTTAAAAAAGTAAAAGGAACTTAAAATCCAATTGTGATATTATAACTGTCTGTAAGAATTGGAAGCCTATTACAATATTATTATTTTGAAGTTTTAAAATTTTGATTGGAAAGAGAAAGATGATAAAGGGATGACCCCAAGAAACTTAAATATCCCTAAATTTTTGTTGTCAAGTATATGAAAAATGATAAATACAAATAACAAATACAAATTACTCAAGTTTATGAAAAAAAACTTCCAAATCTTCAGAACTAATTACAAGCATTATATTATTTTATTTTAAAGCTAATAAACTTTTACTTTTATAATAAGGTAAAATTTGCAAAGAAAAAAACAAGGCAAGGCATGCTTTTTGTTGGTTTACATTTTGTTAATTAATTGAAAACAAATGAAAAGAAAAATTCTGATTTTTGCTTTTCTTTAAAATTAATATTATAATAGAAAAATGTAAAGGAGAAGAGACGAAAAAAAGCAAATACTATTGGATAATTTCTTTTATTACAGAGCCAGTTTGGAGTAGTGGCTAAACTGGAAGACTGTAAATTCTAGAGTTTAGGTTAGTTGGGTAACCGTGGTCCCTCTCTCTTTCAGTTCTAAGAAGGTGGCAGTGGCAAACCATTTCCAAAAAACTTGTCAAGAAAACTGCCTGGACTACTTCAAGCAGTCACTATGTGTCAAAAACTGACTCAAAGAGACTAACCCTCCCACAATCCTTTATTACTAATATCATTCATAATTCACAAGTATGGTTATAGAACACTGGTGGGTTCTGGATCCCATTCCAACCGGTACGGTTGGAACGGGCTTGGCGTTGCCCATATGGATGTGCGCTGCACACATGCATCGTACCTGCCAGTGATACCTCTGCAACGCTCCAGCCAGGCGGGTGCGCGGAAGCGCCGAAGGTTTTAAAGGACCGGTAAGGAGCTCAAATGGGCGGGTGGGCCCTCTGGAGCATCATACTGGACGGGTACCCAGTGCTCTAGGCAGGCTCCGGTACGCCCGTACCGGGGTGTACCGCCTACAACCCACCGTTCTAGAAGCAATATTTAGCAAGCTGGGTTGTTGTACATTTGACTATTCAGAATGAATAATTTCAAAGTTAAGTAGCAGTGAGCTATTCAAAACTTTTATTTTCAAGGACCAATAATCACAATAAAAGTTCCGTAGAGAGTCAAGCCCACTGTTCATAAAGAAAAACCTTTGAAAGATCCTACCTGATCTATATCAAGTTGGCTTATTCTGCTCGATCCACTTGCTACATCAAAGTTCGTTTCTGAATTAAAGGAATGTTGGAATTAAAAATTACCATAGTTATGTCCAAAGCAAGCTTTAAAAATGTAGTTATTTTAAAGTTTCATAATATCTATACATGGAATCAAAAATTAAATATTTTATCAATTGATACCTTTGTTCTAGTACATATAATAGGCAGAGAAAATCTGAGATCCTTATACCAACTGCGTTTCTTAAAGGAGCCAACTCCATTCAGATGTTTTGGAGCAGGGGTCCCCAACCTTTCGGACCTCAGGGACCACTAAATTCATAATTTTAAATTCTGTGGACCACTAATATAACCTGCCTAATGACCGGCTGGGTGGGTGTGGTTAGGTGGTCATGTTACTGGGTGGGCGTGGCCAACTCAATGTCACATCAAGGGGTGCCTCGCCAGCCTCTACGCACCCCTCCCCTCCCATCTACTCCTCACCTGCCCATCTGGCTCCTTAGGACCCCAACAGGAAACAGTTGTTTGAGCTAAGCAGCCACCATGAGAAAGAGTTGGCAAAACAGCTGACTCAGTTCAAATTGGATCTGACCAAGAAGGAGGCTCACCAGAAGCACCTCACTGAGGACTACGAGCATAGGCTTTCCAAGCAAAGGGAAGACCTGCAGGAATGCAAGGCCAGGTACTGGCACCTGGAAGCTCAGTGGGCTGAGATGGTCAGCCAGTTTCAGGCCAGTATGCAGTCCTACTACAACAAAGCCCTCCAGCTCTTCGCCACCAGCGGCACTTCCCCCCAGCCTTTGCCCAAAGCCAGGAGGCTGAAGCAGACCCCAAGTCAAAATCCCCCCCCCCCGCGACCTGCACAAAAAAGACCCTGAAGGGAGAGACTCTCTGCAGCAACACAAACGTTCATTGCACATATCCGGCCCAGGAGCCATAGTTTGAGGACCTCTGATTTAGTGCAATATAAAAAATGCAAATATTTTTTCTGCGGACCACCAAAATTTTCTCATGGACCACCAGTAATTTCCGAACCACAAGCTGGTGACCGCTGTTTTGGAGGACTTTTAACCTTAGAGAAGTGGTAGGACAGCAATTACAGAACAGTGTAGCTGAAAAGAATTGTCTGAATCCCTTTTAGAGAAGAGAAGAGAAGAGAAAAAAGAGAAGAAAAGAGAAGAGAAGAGTTCTTTATTGGCCAAGTGTGATTGAAAACACAAAGAATTTGTTACCGCTGCATAAGCTCTCAGTGTACCTATAAAAAGCAATGTGATAAATTTTAAGATAATAATAGGAGAAGGTAATAGGAAAGATGAGAAGGATAAGAGCAATACAGCACAACTACATGGGTAGTTATCCTTAGGCATAAGACAGTGCTGTGGGAATTAGATGTTTAGCAGAATGATGGCAGGACAAAAACTCTTTGTATCAAGCTGTTTTCGCATGCAATGCCCTTTAGTGGCATCCTGAGGGGAGGAATTGAAACACTTTATGTCCAGAATGTATACTTTTGGGTTGTAGAAATCTTTATATATATAAAGATATTTTAACAGAAAGCGGGGGAATTAAAACAAAAACAAAAATTAGAAAAACAAGGGATTGATATAGGATGGTTTTCACAATTGCAAATACAAGCAAGATATGAAAAAGATAAAAGGGAATACAGTTTTAACTTAGGAACTTCGGAGCTGGATAAGATATTTTTGGGAACAGAAGAAAAAATAATTAAGAAACTATATAGCTACCTATTAAGAACTAGCTTAGAAGAAGTGGTTAAAGATACGATGTTAACTTGGGCAAAGAATTTTGGCGATTGAGCTAGAAAAGTGGCAACAACTATGGGAAAGAAACTATAAATTAACCATGTCAACGGCCTATGAAGAAAACGTATACAAAATGTTCTATAGATGGCACATGACACTTGGAAAATTAGCAAAGATGTCTACAGACAAATCAGCAAATTGTTGGAAGTGTCAACAAGCAATAGGCTCATACTATCACATGTGGTGGACATGTGCAAAAGCAAGGGAATATTGGACTAAGATAAGAGTATGGTTAAAGAAAATGTTACAACAAGAAATAGAATTTAAACCAGAGATTTTATTAGGTATTATCCCAGAGAAATTCAAAAAAGAGGATACCTATTTGATTATACACGTAACTACAGAAGCAAGAATTGTATTTGCCCAAAATTGGAAATCAAATAAGCTCCCAACAGATGAAGAG